TCCTGGGTGTCAACTTGATTTGATCTGAGATTAACTGGAATGAAAGAGATCTTCTTGATTGGATCATCTAAAGCCGGAAGACACACTCTAAATGTGGGTGTTACCTTCTGATGGCAGCCAGTATAAAAGACCAAGGCAGAGCAGAGTGCCAGGCTTTTTGCTGCTTGCCTTCTCTATCTCTGGTGAGTTTGTCTTGCTGCTGTAGACTGAAGACTAGCTGATCTTTTGGAATTCGTCAGACCTTCAGCGCCAGATTGGGATCTGAGACATCCAGCCTTGTGGACTGAGTGACTACGGATTCTCAGCCTCTCCAGTGTGGTGCAGCCATTGTTGGACTACTTGGACTCTTATCCTGTGAGCTACGCTGATAAATCTCTATACATATTCATTCTACCGGTTCTGTTTCTTTGGAGAACCCTGACTAATACACTCTCTACCTATCTAATCTATCTATTTATCTATCTTCTAGCTGTTTCTTCTATCTTTTTGAGACAGGGTCTCCCTGTAGCCCCAGCAGGCCTGGAACTCACTATGTCGACCAGGCTAGCCTCAAATTCACAAGATATCCCCGTGTCTGCCTCCTGAGTGCTGGGATTAAAGGAGTGTGCCACCATGCCTGGCTCCACTTTTTATTTTTCATCTTGAGTCTTGCTGTGGTGCATAGATTAGCTGAATTCACTCTGTAGTCCAGTCTGCCTTTGAACTTGAGATTCTCTGCTCTGGCCTCCTGAATAGCTGGGGTCACAGGCTTGGGAAACCCCAGCACTTACAGAACAAGAGAATTTCAAAGCCTGCAGCATAGAGAGCAAAACTGATCTTCAGTCTGCTTGGTAATATGCATTGCATCATCCTGGTGCTGTTAGGGCCCGAAGAGATGCCTGCTGGTGGGTTATGGGCCACTCAGGAGTGGAATAGCTAGATTTTTAACCCACCATCTTTTCCTGATGTACTCCCCTCTAGGGCACTGTGGAAGCCTCTCACTGGGATAACAGAGATGCCCATGTGGTTTTAAAGATACACTAAAAAGAGCACAGATCTAGAAGACAAACACTTTCATCCTGGTTCTGCATCTAACTGAGTGAAGGACTTGAAGTGATTTTTCTCTCCCCAGACCAGAGGGGGATGGCTGGAAACCAGACCTGACAAGCACACGACATACGGATATAGATCCCCCTTCCTGCCAGCTTTTCAGATTCCTTCCCTACAGATGTTTACCACCAGCCACAGCAAGGCTTGGCTCAAGTAGGTCTTTCTCCCTTAGCCACAGCACTGGAGATACCTGTGTGGCTCTGGAAGGGTCCTCCAGCCAGCCTCTGTCATGGGCATTCGAAGGTGGTGATGAGCCTCCCCAACACTACTCACCTCCAGGATGTGCTCATCCTTCTTCTCCCTGTCCAGCTGCCAGGCAGTAGACAGGAGGCCTGGGGAGGGATGGAAGGAGAGACATGTAAGCTAAGGGCTGCCGGAGCCTCGTTCCTGGGCCAGGTTCTGTGGCACACACAACTCCCAGATGAGAGTTCTAGTCTCTGGAGAACAAGTATGCGAAGGGGAAATGGAACTCTGGGGAAAGGGAAGGGACAAGTGAGATGGTAAGGGAGCATCAAAGGATGTATTAGCTGAAGGTCCCACCTCAGACCATGAGGCAGGGGTGACGGGTTCAAAACTCAGCAACCCACACAGCACCAGCAGCTGGCTCAGTCAAATACTCACACAATCAGATGCCTACACAATCCAACCAAAGTCTAACCAATCAGATGCTTCCACAATCCAATGTCCACCCAAGCAGATACCTACACAATCCAGTGTCCAAACAATCAGATGCCTGCAAATCCAGTGTCTGCACAATCAGATCCCTGCTTGATCACATGTCAACCAATCAAAAGGCTGCCCAATTAGAATAGTTGTCCACTGGAAATAACCAGGAGGCCTGCTGGTACCAAGGGTGGCTGTGGCATTAGCATGGTTTGGGTTCCTGGCTACTGACATGGAGTATGTTTGCCACTGGATGCCTTCTGCCCATCTGTGACCATTCAGCTTCACCATAGATTTGATTTAGAATCACCATGGAAACCACCTCTGGGTAGGTCTGTCAGTGTGTGTTGAGAGCTTTAACTGAACAGAAAGACCCGCCCCGAGTGGTTGGTACGATCCATGGGCTGGGGTCCCCAGACTGAATAAAGGAGAAAGCGAGCTCAACACCAGACTCATTCATTGCTCCCGCCGCCTGACTGCGGATGCCGTGTGACCAGCGGCTCCAAATCCCTGCTGTCGTGCTCCTCCACCGTGAAGGACTGTACCCTTGGACTACGAACCAAAATCAACCTTTCCTTCCTTAAGTTGCCTTGATCAGACGGGCATGGTGGTGCACACCTTTAATCCCAGCACTCAGGAGGCAGAGGCAGGCAGGTCTCTGTGAGATCAGAACCCAGCCTGGTCTACAAGGTAAGTTCCAGGCCAGCTGGGACTACAGGGAGACCCTGTCTCAAACAAAACAAAGCAAAACAAAACAAATTGCCTTTTTCACAGCAAAGACAAAACTGGCAAAGCATCATTCAATGCTTTATTTAAACAGACAGACCCCAGTGTTCCTGAGGGGAGCCACACCATCGCTAACTCTAGTCGTCTTTCAGACCTGGGATAAGCCTGACTCATTCTGTATCTGAAGGAGGCTGTGTGGCCCAGGCTGACCATCAGCATCGACTAAGTGCTCTGCTCGTGACTGGTTCCACTTGGACAAGTGGCCCATATCTTATAAGATCAATTCTAGGACTTGCGAAAACCGCAGAAGAGCCCCGTTCACTGCCGAGTGTGCTAAGAGGAGGATGAACCTGAGAGCAACAGAGCCAGACTCCCGAGAATCACATCCCTGGAAAGCAAAGGAGGCCGGGAGATGGGGGTAGGAGGAGCCTGCATCTCCTTACACAAGCAGAGGCTGGGCCTACTGTGTGCCTGTGAACCTCGGCCTTACAGCGCCTGGTCAACTCAGATCAAGTTTCCACCTTTCATACCTGCAGAAGTCCCAACAGAGGAGTCAGCTCTGAGACTGGGACTGTTGGGGCCATAGAGGGACCTGCTTCCAACGAGGACACTGCCACCAGGCTGGGCCACTCCCTTTATCCTGTGGTACTGCCAACCCTCAGTCTCAGGTTCACACAGGGACCCACTCATGCCTCTGTGCCTGCCTCAACTCCTGGAAGCTCCTGCCTGGCTCTGTCGTGATCTGGTTGTTACCCTATAACCCTCTGTACAAGGACAAGGTGATTGATGTGCTTCAAGATCCCTCTGGCTTCTGTTTTGATTTTCATCCCACATGGAGGACTTCAAGATAAAAGAGAGATGCATGAGTCTGGAAAGGTGAGTATATACAAAGCCTCAAAACGTAAGCATCACACATCCTTATAAAAGAGGAGGTAGGAGGGCCAGAGAGATGGCTCAGTGGGTACAAGTGCTGCCTGCCAGGCTTGACGACCTGAGTTCAATCCCTAGGACCCACCTAATGAAAGAGAGCTGATTCCCGTAAACTGTCCTTTGAGCGCTGTGCTTGTGCTAAGTGCGTGTCTGCATACAAACATACACACACAAAAGAAACATAGTGTAAAATAAAAACTTCTTTTAAAAAAAGAGGCAGGAATCCTACGTTCTCTTCTGTCCACTGTGCACTCACACACGGAGGCATAATACTCATATACATAAAAAATAAAATAAAGGGCCGGGCGTGGTGGCACATGCCTTTAATCCCAGCACTTGGGAGGCAGAGGCAGGGGGACCTCTGTGAGTTCAAGGCCAGCCTGGTCTACATAGTGAGTTCCAGGACAGCTGGGGCTACAGGGAGACCCTGTCTCAAAAAGACCAATAAATAAATAAATAAATAAATAAATATATAAATATATAAAAGAAAATTATGCATGAAAGGAATAGTATGCAGCCATTTCAAATATAATTTGTAGATGTGCAAATGCTCGGCATGGTCTATTGAGT